GGTGCCTGTGGTCCCAGCTACTTGGGAGGCTGAGGCAGGAGACTTGCTTGAGCCCAGGAGTTGGAGGTTGCTGTGAGCTGTGACACCACAGCACTCTACCCAGGGTGATAGCTTGAGGCTCTGTCTCAAACAAAATAAAACAAAACAAAAAAACCAGTACTATTTTGAGCGATAAAAGCAGTTGGGCTCATATGCCTCCAAGCATGATAGTGATGATATTGGTAGAGGCAAGTATATTAGTTTCCTTTTGTTGTTGAGACAAATTACTATAAATTTAGTGACTTAAAATAACACAAATATCTTATAGTTTAGGAAATCAGAAGTCTGAAATAGGTCTCTGAGGGATAAAATTAAGGTATTGGCAGGGCTGAGGTACTAGGGGAAAATTCGCTTTCTGCCTTTTCTAGCTTTTTGAAGTTGCCTCCATTTAGCTCATGGCACCAGCCAGCAATTACATCACTTTGACTTTTGCTTCTGTCATCACATCTCCTTTTCTGATTATGACTTCCTCACCTCCCCTTTTCATTTATGAGGACCCTTTACATTGGGCACACCTGGCTAAACCAAGATAATCTCCCATTTTCAAAATTCTTAATTTAATAATATCTACAAACACCTCTTTTTCCATGTCAGGTAGTAGTCACAGGTTCCAGGGAGTGGGTGTGGACATTTTTAATGTGCCATTATTCTGCATATGTAGCATGTAAAGCTCAAGAAAATGACTCAGCAGTGGACAAAATAGGGCGTTGTTAATTCTGAATATTTCTTAGAGTATTCAAATTTGAGAGACAGTGGTAGGCATCAATTCAACAATATACCTTGCAGTAGGAACCAAATAGGTGTTACTATTTGGTTATAACCAAATAGATATTACTCTCAGCCAATCATGATAGCCAGGATTGGAGTGAAGGAGGTCAGTCTTTTTAGTGAAATGAGCTCTGAGAAGACTTAAATTTCTTGGTCCTTAGAAATTGAGGAATATCAGTGCTTTAAATTATTTTGCTTATGCCTATTCCACATTCCTTCCTGGTACACACTGCCTATTTAGCATGTGCTGACAGTCAAAAACTCAATTACCCAACAACCTAGACCAACCAAAGTGAGGAGGGAGTGTCTACTAAATAAACTTATCTGTAATCTCTACTATATACCTGTAGTTTCTATCTCTGAATTTCCTTTGAACTCTATAACAAAAGCAAATACGATTTTTCTTTGTCTTTTTGTAACAGCTTTTTAGTGAGATGTAACTAACATAGTCATATGATCCATTCAAACCATCACCAATTTTAGAATATTTTTATCACCCTAAAGAGAAACGCTATACCCATTAGTAATCACGTTTCATTTCCCCTCAGCCTCCCCAGCCTTGGGAAATCACTAATCTGCTTTCTGTCTCTATGGATTTACCTCTTTTGGACATTACATACAAATGATATCATATAGTATGTGGTCTTTTGTGGCTAGCTTTTTTCACTGAGCATATTTCTAAGGTTCATTCATGTTATAGCATGTATAAGTTGGTCTTTTCCTTCCTTCCTCTCTCCTTTCCCCCTCCCTCCTTCATTTCTTTCTTCCTTCCATCCTTCCTTCCTTCTCTCCCATCCTCCCTCCTCCCTTCCTCCCTTTTTCAGAATCTTGCTCTCTCTCCCAAGCTAGAATACAGTGGTGTCACCATAGCTCATCACAACCTCAAATTCCTGGGCTTGAGTGATACTCCCGCCTCAGCCTCCCAGGTAACTGGAACTACAGGCACTTGCCACCATGCCTAGGTAATTTTTCTATTTTTTGTAGAGATAAGGTCTTGCTCTTGCTCAGGCTAGTCTTGCACTTCTGGCCCCAAGCAATTCTCCTGCCTCAGCCTCCCAAAGTGCTAGTAGTATAGGCATGAGCCACCACGCCTCGCCTGCATTTCTTTTTATTAGTCAATAACATTCCATCATATATTGCATGCACTTCTTTTTTTTTTTTTTCCAGAGACAGGGTATTGCTCTGTTTCCCAGGCTGGAGTGCAGTGTTGTGACCATAGATCACTGTAGCCTGGAGCTCCTGGCTCAAGCAATCTTCCCACCACATTTGCCAGGCATGATAACATGTGCCTGGCTAATGTTTTATTTACTTTTTATTTTATTTTATTTCTTTTTTTTTTTTTTTTTTGAGAC